AGGACAATGATATGTTGCATATTCCAGAGTAGGCAAACCAGACACTCTTCACATCAACACTGACAAAGAAACAACAAGAAATACAGTTTACCCACAAGCATAAAGAAAGTACATATATTAGAAGTCAACACTTTCTCATTACTTTATTTTCCAGATCACCAGACTGGGCCACAGCAACGCGTGGCAGGGGATGGCTAGTTTATTATAAATTCTCAAGATTAACACCCTTTATGATAAGGTTATAGGGACCATACAAATCATCACAAATTCTATAAGAGGTGCAGGAGAGTCATATGATTTCTTCCAAATTCTAGCTATAACTAGGGGGTAAGTTTTCTTTCTCAGTTCATAGACTTTGAAAAGAATTCAAGGAATGTACAAGAGATATGAAAAACAAAATGAAATACTGCAATTAAAAAAGAGAGAATAACTAAGAAACTAACATAAGGCAATATCCATTTATGAGGTCTATATTCCCAAAAGGAACCAAATCCTATATGATCATAGATGGAAGACTACCAATGAATAATACCAAGTGCTGTAGGATATATTTCAGAGGAAGGAAAAGCCATCTGGGAGTATTCCTTGCACAAGAAAATACTATGAAATTCATGGGAAATTTATAAGTTGACAGGCAACTTAAAGGTGCACACAAGCACAAATGTATGTATGCACACACACACACACAAATACACACATTAACTCATATATAAAGAATAGAGCATTTGATTTCTTCAGTACAAGTTATCTCAGACTTGTATTGCACTCCAAAACACAATTAATTTTTTTCAACTTTAACTTGTAAGTTGTTTTAACAGCTGTTGGGACAGGCGGGTGAAAACAGAACTACTTTTAAAAAATTAAGTTGTATTGTACAAATCTAAATGTGAGCATGTGGATTTGCATTTGAGATTATTTTCACCACTGGACATGTTGAATAAAACTGTAGAAATCATTAGGTTTTTTTAAAAATCACGAACACTGAAAGTCCCCAAATCATTAAAAAGCAGTATGCAAACACTACTCTTTTGTTCAAAAAGATATAATAACAGAGGATTAAATTAGGGTGAGATGTGAAATAACTTGATTTTTTAATAAAACCTTTGGTTGCTCTTTCATTGCCATAATTATACAGAAGCTATTTTAAGGGTCAGTGCATGAAATGTCTTATATTACTCCTGTAACTATCATAATATGCCATTCAGGAAGCATTTAACAATACTACAAGGAAGTAAGAGAAGCAGTAACAGCATTTAATAACAGGGCTTTGTGGCCTTTTCCAATGAGGATTTTTACATTGTGCAGAGTAATTTTTGCACCAGAGAGTTTCAACTTCAGATTAAAAGATTAAGATAAAGCAAAAAAAAAAATCCTCAAACATAAGGTGTGCACTCCTAGAGATACTGTAATTTATTTTAGAAAGTATAACTCAGACTATGCCAAAATGCTTCAGAATATCTTGCCTTCTTAGGCTATGCAATACAAAAAATATTATTGGAAAATAATAGAAATAATAGAATAGAATAATATAAAACATAACCATAGGTGCTAAAATCACAGTCAGCATGGTTTATGCATCTTCTGCAAATTTAAGTATGAAAAAACTATAATTATCTAAAGCTGTACATCTAATACAGAAGAGGGAGAGAAGCCATTGATATAGACTGTACACAAGTTTTTATCCATGTATATAAATCAAAAGAAACAACTTCCTTTAAGGCAAGCACACGAAGATACTAAAGCAAGATACCAATTAAATATTCATACATTCAATATTTCAAAATAAGGAATTTAGATATACACATGCATAATTTAAGTTATATAGTGAAACCTATCTGGCAAGGCCATTTCTACTGTATTTCAATAGGAACTCAAGTTGAAATGTACAATGCATCCTTTCCCTTGCTATGTTAAACTTTAAATTCTGTAGTAATTCATTTCCAGCATTAAACACAGAATAAAGGCCATGGTACAATTATGGGTACAGCTCTGTCCTCATCAGTATACCAACCACAGCACACTACCCTGCTATAGAAAAGAATAACTAGATTGGTAAGCAAATACAGGCATTAAATGAAAAAAAAACCCCTGTAAAACATTTATTCCTGATGCTATCGCAGAATTACTGTATGTGTATGCAACTTTGCACTATGTAGGATAAGAATAGTTCTGTGTCTTTCTTTCAAACACATTAAATATTTGCTGATTTATTCAAAGAACACATACATCCTCCTCTTTGGGCTTTTTTCACCATCTCTAACTCTATTCAAGACATTCTAGATATCAAAAAAAAGTTGCCTTTTTGAGCATTTATGACTATATTTAATCTCTCATTGCCTTCTTCCTTCCAGTGTGCAAATTTCTTATTGTAACTCTGTGATGTTTTCTTCATACCTCCTTTTATTTACACCAACATTGTATCCCAATGAGATCGTGCTTGCACATGAAATACACCCCACCCTTCATTGAAAACATGGCTTGGATGCCAGCCTGTGACCTAGGAGGACTCTCTACCTTTCTAGAAAGTACAGGGAACCTTCTTGGTATGTGTACAGTTAGTGCAATTTGGTATATTAAGATGCACATCCATACAAACAATATTTCAAAAGTATGGATATGAGCACTGACCACACTATGACACCACCACCAGGGCTTACTTCTATATTTTATAAAGATGGTAGATTTAAGCTGGAAAATTATCTGATGCACTTGCACTCTTGAGAAGGCTAAAAGGCATAATATTATGGTAGTTCCCATCCTTTGGAGAGAGGCAGACTGTAAAGACATGTCTGGAAGATATATTTTACCTCATGGCCTTTGTGGTGTCTCAAGGGTCCATACAGAGACTTCTTAACAAAACCACTGTGCAGAATTACCATTTTAACAGATAATATTTCTGTCCTATAGAATAGCATAATAATAATAATAATAATAATAATAATAATAATAATAATAATATCCTATAGAATAGCATTTAGAATTCTCAGCTAAAGAGCTCTAGTGCTGCACAAAACTGCAATGGGTCTTTAGTATCTGCTGGGATTTAGCTCCAGAGTGCCCTGTGGATACCAAAATGATTGATACTTAAGTGCTATTATATACAAAGGGAGCTCCCGAATCTGTGGAGCAGGGTGAGCTCCTACTGTTAACCCAGCTTCTGCCAATCTAGCAGTTTGAAAACATGCAAATGTGAGCAGATCAATAGGTACCGCTCTGGTGGGAAAGTAATGATGCAGAATCTGTTGCTACAGAGAGGTGACTGTATTCCACAGAACAGAACCATAGCACTTAAAGTTGAATAAATAGTGTTATAATCATGAAGTATGAATGGGACCCTGGAGACCTGGATGAATAAGGTGCCACCAGTAGGCAGACCTCTAACATTTTTATTTTTGTAATCAGATTATCCTTTTCCTAATTTTATAATATTTTGTGATTTAGTAATGTTTCCTGCACTGGGAGAGCTCTATGCTGAAAGGTGGCACATACATATTTTAAATAAATCCATATATGATCTTATTGAGGAGAAGGTTTTCCCCCAATCTTATGATTTAATCAAGTACGTAAGACATTCTTGGTGACTACTTCCATACAGCTAACCTACCCCCTTTCCCCCTGCAGGAAAATGCCTTTTTATTTAGACTTTTGATTACTAACTGGTTGCTACAGAAACACCTTTTAATTGGGGGTGGGGTCTGCTGTATTTCATCCAGATTGTTAGATTTTAATTTTTAGATAATTTTATTCTAGGTTTATACTGTGTTTTTTTAATAGGACGGTTTAATTGTTCACTTTCTTGAACAAGTACTATAATTTAGTTTTAATATATGTTATGAACCACCTTTGGTTCCATATTGGCAAAAAGGAAGGAGATAACTTTAAAAACATTAAATAAAATGCATTATATCTGTCTATAACACATGAAACAGAGCACATGTGAGGTAGAAGAAAGCATAGCATAGCCACAAGTGCCTAATTTGGAATAATGTAGTAGTCAAACTTAGAAATCGAATGATGCAGGGGGCATTTACAAAGCAGAATCTACTGAATTTGGAAAAGTTTTCAATATTAACAAGTATATGTTCTGAAAGATCTTTGTAAACCAATCCAATTATTGCTCTATTATGGAATATTAGTGAAACAAATATTCATATAAATAGTTGTGTCAAGAGAAGCTTTTTCCATCACAATGATCCTCCTGATCTATAAAGAATATATAGAACAAAATACGTTTTTTGCACTTTTAAAAAGTTTTCATTTTCATCCTAATGTTTACACATTTATCTGTGCATAACTTTTTAATAACTTGACTAGAAGTGTGCACAGGTAAGTACAAAGTCATGGTACAAAAAAAAATCTATGTAAAATGTGTACCTGTAAAGTAAAGTACTTCATATGCACAAAAAATTTCTATGGGTTTTGAAATGAATATAAACTTGCCTCAAAGCTAATACTTTAATTTTCAAGAAGCAAGTAAGGGGATAAAAAACTAGTCAGTAACAATGCAGCGTCGAAAAGCAATAAAATCAAAATTAAGTTATAAATAATTTAAAGCTTGTCATGAAGATGTATTAATAATTCATCAGATAAATAATTTACTAAATAATCAAATAAATAAATAATGAAATACATAAATAAATCAGCAAATAAATAATTCTGTAAAATAACCTAAACAATAAGTCACTAAAACAAATGACAACCCTACAAAACTATAACGATTTTCTAAATTCTGATAGTTTTAAATAAACAAATGCATATAAACTAGATCAATCTCTGTTAGAGAAAAAAAGAGAGATTTGTCTGTGATACTGGTGGATTCCTGATTACATTACAAAGATAGACTAAATTTCACCAGAATGAAACAATACTTGTAAATTAACATGACAGCTACTATGTATCCTGTCCGTTATATTCCATACAATTGTTTTAAACAACTAATTTTTCATCAAATAATGTGGATAGGGTTTTTGTAAGGTTCTTTATTTCAGTGTGGTACTTACAATACTGTTATAGCTGTCCTTGGTAGTTTTCTTACTATCTTCTTCAAACCTTTAGAAGTTCTGCTGCAGGGGAAAAACAAGGAGAGTAACCTTAATTATTACAGATGGTATCTCATTCATTAGTGGATGACAACATTTTATTTGAAAGCACACAAAAAGCTGTTTTATAATTCTACAAAGCAACTTAATGTGTAACAACCATTGCTGTTTGCCGACTACCTAAAGTTTTAGAAGTCTTTGGTGGAATGATTTCAAGCAGACTGATGCCTGTTTGTTGTATTTAAACTGACACACAATCTGTGCAAACTGGCACTCATTCAGATATGAAAACAAAATGTGAGGAGGACAAACTGCTTGGCTGACTTTTAAATCCCATCCTTAATGCTTAAAGCTCATGTCCTTGGAAATATAGAGGGGTTACAAAGTCTTTACTTCAAGAAGCATAGCCATATTTGTCTGTTGAAGGAAAGGCAATAAAGAAGTTTGTGGCGAGCAGAAGGGTACACATGTATTCAGGCATAGGCACTGATGAACTAGTTTACATTTTCAGATACTGAGCTTCTCTTATTTGAGTATACGTGTGACCTAAAATTCTAACAGTGGAATATATTCAGCATTAACAAGGTCCATCAGTGGAATGTTACAAATACATGTGGATTCAATATTTATTTTAATATACTTAACAATGTTTTTGGTGTCTTGGTTTTTAGGCCTGTTCCTGAGGTTATTTGGGATGCTAATTCAGAAAATTGCATTGGATAGACCGCATCAGCTCTAGTTTCTTAGAGATGGCTATCATCATTTTATATGGGCAACCAAATGACGAGTGGTATATGGCATATGTTCTGTAACTGATGCTGAGGAAAGGGCCCGGATTTCCCCCAACCCCAGGTTCTGCCCCCTCTTCTGCTTCATGCCATTCCAATGGAAAGGAAAGCCCTTCAGCATAGAAAGGGGGGGGAGGTGTGGCCTGCCAAAGAGTTTGGGGTTGTGCAGGCCTGTTGTAAGTAGGGCATCAAATGATGCTACAGATATGGTTGAGGAAAGACAACAACAACTGAATGCTGGATGTAAAATAATGTTTTACATCATGTCAGAATCATACACAAGGCCATTAGGCTTCATGTCAACAACTCTTACTGCTTCTATCTAGCTATACATATAATGCGTATGTGGGTATGTGGCGGAGGTCTCCATTTACAGAGACAGCCTCCCGACGCTACAAACAGACTATAGTTCCAAGTGCTGAGAAGCCTCCAAAGGCACCATGAACAATATAGCCCAACCCCTGCTAATATCCTCCCCAAACACCAAGGACCACCACCCAAGGAATGCTTTCATTTGGGGACAATTTAATATTAGAGATTACTTGTTTCCTCCAACACAGGCAAGCATCCCAGGGTTCCTTGTGTGAAATTTGCATGACCCCTCCCACTGCCTCTCCCTTAGCTCTTCCCTACCCTTTCACCCTGCATACAGAGCACTCTGAACCCCATCAATAACAGATCTGGGCCAAACTTGGCACACAGACCCAACATGCCCAACTGTGAATACAGGTGGAGTTTGGGGGCCCTTGGAATCTGGGAGTTGTACTTTACCTGCATCCAGAGAAACTGTGGCTCCCACTGACAATGGATCGGGCCAAACTTGGCACAAAGAAGCCCCATGAACATATTGCAGGGGTTTGGGGAAATAATCTTAATTTTGGGAGGTGTAGTTCATCTGCATCCCAAGAGCACTCAACCCAGCTGATGACTGATCTGGACCACACTTGGCACACAGACCCAACATAACCAACTGTGCATACAGGCCTGGTTTGGGGGAGATTTACCCACAGCTTTGGGAATTGTAGTTCACCCACATCCTTATGCATTTTCTAATGGAAGCATTCATAAAAAAACAAAATTAAAGACTGGCTTTTCCCTAATAAATAGTGTTACTAATTAACTAAATGGTATTACCTAACACCCCAAAACAAATAATGCCTTTTCGAAATAACCCGGGCATTTTTCTTCCAAGTTATTAAACAAATGACAGACGTCAACAATGCAATGGTGATACTCCAACAATAGTGTCTGACTCCAGAAACTTTTGATTTGTGAAGATGCATTGAAACAGTTCATTATTGCTGTAAAATGCAGGGGGAAGTGTCAATACTGCTATAGCTCTTGTCCTATTGGCAGCACATCTACTTTAAATGGGACTTTGTTTATTTCTTGAATACAGCAGAATTAATGACACTAGAATTACCTAACACTTCTTGAAGCATTATATGAGACTATTCTTTGGTCTCTTCCTCCTTGATTTAGTACACCTTTTAAGATTATTTATTAATGTTTGGATATCTCATCCATCATCCATTATTATTGATGTCGTAAATTAGAGGAATGGAACAAAGCACTGGACTATTCACTTTTTCCATATTCATCAATAAAACTAACCCCTTCTCTGGCACACTGTGAAAGAAGTAAGTTTGGTCTAGCTGTCAGAATGAAAGAACTATCTCAGCATAAACAGCTACTGGATAATTTGTGAAACTTGGCTCAATCAAATCAAAGGCCATCATCATGGCAAAAAGTTGCTCAGGCTGATCAAACAGAAGAAATAGACAGAGATTTGAAACTGTTATAAGAAGGGAAAGTGATAAGGGATGGTATAGTATATTCAGGAACACTAGGGTACGAATGGCACAAACTGGAACTTAGTATTTATTTATTTGTTTATTTATTGTGTCAGAAGCGAATTGAAGGTACAGTTGTAATGTATTTAAAAACACAAAGTTAAAAACTTGGCATTTCAGTAATTGTGAACCTTTCAAGCAGTGGAAGCAATGAGGTGCAGGAAAAAACATCAGATTAGGTGATAATAATTGGCTAATACAAACTAGTCCTAATTGTCATTAACCTTGGCCCATAGAAATCATTTGTGGAAACTAGAGTATAGCACATAGCTAAATGTCCCTGGGGCATCTGCCATTATGTGTAAATGGTATTCAAGGCAGAACAGATCATAGGAGGGCATGGGATGTATATTTTTTCTGTAGAACTGTACTGTTTTCTCTGTGATAGTACAGAATTTCTTCTTTTTTCTATTCATTGCATTTTTTAAAAAAATAAGTATTTATTTATTTTTGGCTAATTTCTGTTGTATTTTAGATGTTTTGAGTTGCACCTTGTAAGCCGCTCCAAGTCCCTTTTGGGAGATAAGGTGGGATATAAATAAAGTTATCATTTATTATTAACTCCACCATGTGTTCTCAATAACGTTGGAAGATAATTTCCATCAACTGTTGTTCAACTTAAGTCCTTTGTCAGTTCAATGTACTTTATTCAGTTTAGGAAGTCAGCATATTTTTAAATCTTCCAAGTAGACGGTTAACAATTTCCAATCTTTTTAAAAGTATTTGTATCCTGATTCTGTAGCTATGTATGGATTGTATGGGAGAAGGCGATCCTGAAGGCTTTGATGGCACAGGTATTACTACCACTGAAGTAATATCAGTGGTAGTAAGACAAAAACCAAATTTAAATCTAGTCCTAAATACGGTATGTGCTTTCTGAGATATAAATAACAATGGCTATTTTATTCTTCTTGTTAGCTTTAAATTTTTTGAAGAGGTTTAATGAAATAAATTTAGAAAGATCTTTATCGCAATATAATAGCTTTGTGTGTGGGTGTTTTACATCCCTGATTACATTTTAAAATAATATTTTAAAGTCGGATTTAGGTATCTTTAAACTGTTTGTGTGCGTCTTCAAGTTGCCTTTTAACTTATAGCAATCCCTAAAATTGCATATGGTTTCCTCAGACAAGGAAGACTTAAGAGGGAGTTTTGCCAGTTGCAGTCTCTGGAATATATCCCACAAGACCTGGTATTCATCGGCAATCTCTCATCCAAGGATAAACTAGGGTTGATCCTTTTGATCTTTCAAAGTCAGGTAGGAGCTGTCCCCCCCCCCCCCGTGTCAGAAGCGACTTGAGAAACTGCAAGACGCTTCTGGTGTGAGAGAACTGGCTGTCTGCAAGGACATTGCCCAGGGGATGCCCGGATGTTTCAAAGTTTTACCATCCCTGTGGGAGGTTTAACAAGCGTTAAACCCTTGTGCCGGCAGGACTGAAAACTGACATGTCGGAAGTTCAAATCCGAGGAGAGCGTGGATGAGCTCCCTCGGTCAGCTCCAGTTCCCCATGCGGGGCAGGAGCTGGTGTCTTCTGGGTATTTAGGTCGAATTCATTGAACTAAAAAACTATAAACTTCTACTGCCACAATTTTTACTTCTTTCCTATTTTAGGGGGTTTTCTTAGATAAACAAGAAGGCTCTCAACTGTATTTTCAGATTTTATCACTGTGGAGGCAAGGATGATATGCAGATGAACAAAAAAAGCAGTAAGAATTAGCATGAATTTGATATATGAAACCCCAAGATTAACCATATGGAATTCCCTAATACATATTTATTCATTTCAGGCATTTCTATCCCATCCTTCTCACCTCCGAAGAGGGACTCAGGACGGCTTACAACAGGCAGTCATTAGATGCCAAACAACAATACATTAAAACACACAGTTACAATTAACACAATTAAAATAATTATAAGCAATTAAAAACAATTTGCCAGCTCAAAACATAATTCAAATCAGCCCACTGCGGTCCACCAGTTGATCCATTTATTGCACAAATGCTTGATCCCAAAGTTAGGATTTGAGTTTTTTCCAAAAGGTCAGGAGGGAGGGGGCGGATCTAATATCATTGGGGAGAGAATTCCACAGCCGAGAGGCCACCACGCAGTAGGCCCTGTCTCTTGTCCCCACCAGTCGTGACTGTGAAGGAGGTGGGACCAAGAGCAGGTTCTCCCTGGATGATCTTAACGTCCTTGGTGGTTCATAGAGAGAGAAATGTTCGGACAGGTAAACTGTTCCAGAACCATTAAGGGCTTTATAGCCTAAAGCCAGCACTTTGAATTGTGCTTGGAAGCTAATAGGCAGTCAGTGGAGCTGGCGTAATAGGGGAGTTGTGCGCTCCCTTTAACCTGCCCCAGTGAGCAGCCTGGCTGCTGAACGTT